ACGCAAATCTTCTCGTCTAGATCATCCAAAAAGGTATACGCAATTTTGTAATGTCTATATGACTTTTAATGAATAAACAAGGGATTTCATGTAGTTTCCAGCTACAATGTAAACGATCTCATTTCGTTTTTGCATGTGGAAAAACGATATGGCATTTACTAGTTCTGAACATGGGCCAGAAAACAAACATCTAATATGATTTTCATTAAAAACAAGAGCTCTCACGATATTTGCAGATACAATGTAAACGACCTCATTTCGTTTTTGTATGTGTAAAACAATACGTGATCTGCAAAAACAAAATTCTGTCAAGCCTTAATGTATTGAATTTGAATTTTCGAGACCTTTCTAATAGAATCAGGATCTAACATCATGCATATAAAATGACACACTCGCCAAATTTGTGACCTTATGAATAAATAAATCAAAGTCAGAGTGTATTTATAGAACTGTTATCATTCTCATAGATCAAATCGTCAAAACCATCCAGTAAACCAGTTTGTGGTAGAGGTATGAAATTTTTCTTCAGTATTCCAGCAAGCTGCTTTCTGAATTTATTTGTCAGAATGAAATTTTGTTTGACAATTTAAGGTCCACCCGGAGCACCAGGCCCTCAAGGCCCGAAGGGTCCCAGCGGACAAAGAGGAAGACGTGGTAAACGAGGTTTTCGTGGATCTCCTGGAATACAAGGTCCACCCGGGCCACCAGGYSCCCAAGGACCGAGAGGAACGCCAGGAACAGCTCTCTCTGGAAAAGCTTCAACTATTATTCATTCACTTGGTGAGTATTTTCGCAGAACGAAATCTCAAATCAACTAGACGCTGTAACAGCGTGAAGTTGCGCTAGATAGTATAATGCATAATGTTAAATAGAGGTATAGTTGGAAATTAACGTATGTTTGTATCAATGTTTGGTTCAGCGAAGATCGTTGGCTCGTTTTATTCAAGATATGCAAAGGTCACATAAACAACATATATATGGCACCATCTTGTCTAGAGCCTTTGATAAAGAGATCACCTATATAAACATTTGACGATTRAAATAAAGCAATGTAGGTAATTTCCTGGGCTTCCTGTCCTATTCCCAAACGCTACATATTAAATAGATAAATTTGACAAATTGCGCACGGTTTCGAGTTGTATGTCCTCTTATGTTCTCTTATTAACACACTTTTGACGACATGAAATGTTGATGAATCACATTTAAGTCTAAAGATTAGTGAAAAACATTTTGTTTTCTTTCAACTGAACGCGCAGCACGGCAGAGTGTCCATGCCCTCTTATTGACACACTCYAGAGCCAATTAGCGCGCTAGAATTTATACAACTGTGGTAAAAAGATAGATACATAAATTGACGAGGAAGTCAAAGTAAATTGTGGTTGGCTCGACGAACGACACCTATTCAATGGTAAATGCATGTATAATATAAAATCTCATGTAGATTCCAATCCTTTTTTAAAGCTCTTCCAAAAATAACCAAAAGACCTCCATCTGTTCTTGTCACCAAAGAAGGTGATAATGTGGTTATTCCGTCGAAAGCCTCTGGTTTTCCTAATCCTAATATCTCGTGGTACAAAGACAACAAGAAAGTAGACGAGCGATTCTATGCAACTGGTGCTCTACGAATAAACAATGTCAAGTACGAAGACCACGGGGTTTACTTATTGAAAGCAAAGAATTTCATTGGTGAAGCAACAGCGAAAATGAAACTTGTCGTAAATGGTAATTTCAATGAACAATGTATCATAGCTTTAATTGTGTCAGAGGGATGTGTCTAGTTTAAAGAAATGGTATTTGCTCAGACAAAGAATATTTCCATTTAGCCGAGTTCAATTTAGTTGGACAGTTGCATAGTTTATTTACTCGCTTATAATGTGATGTTTCAGAAACGTTTGACATTTCACCTTTCAAAGACATGGATCTTAAAAACATTTCTTACAACATTCGAATCCTTAGAAGAAATTAAACGAACGGTTGTGAAGAAGCAACACTATTCTAAAGTGCTGAGAACTAGCGGTAAACTAGTGTGAGATGCGTCGGTGTTTCTATAAAGAAACAGTTGTGTAAAAAGATAAATTTAACACCGTAAAAAAAGTACGTGAAATAACTTACTGACGTTTCGGACGTTAATCCTTCGTCGGAATAAAGTGATTGAGAGCAATTATTAATATCACATTTTTTTAAATAGTTCCACCGCGATTCGTTGTTCGGCCTCCAGTTTACGTTGCTGGTTATGAAAACTGGAACACAACCATGCAGTGCAATATCTTTGGGTTTCCTGCTCCGCGGATCGAATGGAAACGAGCATTGCAAGCCATGTCCAAAGAACGTCATATAATAACCGGTAACCGTCTTGTGATTAAGAATACAAGAAAAGATGACAAGGGCCCTTACATGTGCAAAGGAATTAACGATCATGGCAACGTGTTTTCTATGGTGGTGTTGACTGTACATCCTGTCAGTAAGTATTGAATAATGCTTGGATAAATAGATTGTGGGATGAATGAGCCCCTTCTTTAGGAAGCCGATGGGTTTCAAAAAGCGC